AACATCTTGACCATGGCAGAAGTATTGGGGGACAGAAGGACTTTACAGTGCTTATCCTCCCAAGATGCAATTTCATAATCACACGTGTGTTTAAAGTATATTGAAGGAGCAAACCTCCAACATAAGTGAAAACACCGTCTGATATCTACGAGTCAATTTAATGTGTAAAAGCTGCTTGTGATTGGACTCAGTGGCTGTTGATTACATTATACCACTCTCGTGGTTGAAGGTGGAGCATTAAAACAACAAGAAAATTCTTTCGCATGACAGGCACCAATTTTTGTCAAATGATTCTTCCTCTACACTGAGGCGAGTGAAATGCTAGAAGGCATCTTACCACGCTCTCCACCACATCCAGTCGCCAAAATGCAGGCTGCACACACAACGAGGCAGAATTGAGATGCCATCGCCGCTCCACAAACGCTTTGCATTCACCATCCATGGCAACGCATTTATAGGAATGCTCTGCTCCAACGTCAGCCTATGGGATATCACCTTCTTGACCTTCATGTTGACCGCAGCATTCATTCATGCATCCAATGAAAGCTGGAAGGTGTTGATTCGCTTGAGCGATTTCACCCTCAACTCACACACCTGCCAGCACCCACGTGCTTTGAGGCGACATGCAAAGCAGAATGGCTTACTGAAGACGCGGCCTAACGTTCCCATCACTTGGAACTTCCGGACATATTGTCAGTGGGTGTGTCGATGTTGTTAAATCATATTTGTTTCGCATTCGCTGTAGTCATGTTCACAATGCTTACGTGACTGCATCCACGATGACATGTGGAAGTGGACGTGTATGTAGGAACATGACACTGTTTGGCATTTAGAATTGCTTTCCGAAGTGCTTCAAGTAAGCGAATTCTGTGGTCTTGCTCACTTGCTTCCATTTCGCCTCAGCCTACAAGTTGTATAAAGACTGTTGAATTCGTCTTTGAAATAGACACGAGTGGATGATGATGATGATGATGATGATGATGATGATGGTGGTGGTGGTGGTGTGGT